TTCAACATTCAGTAGAACATGTGTTTCTAGTCTCTGATCATGTTTCATTGTAAACAACCAATCAGAGGAGAGCTAGTAATGTTCGCAGCACCGCTAACGGCTAACCAACAGGAGGAGAGCTAATAACGTTAGCAGCACCGCTAACGGCTAACCAACGGAGGTTCACTTCAGTTACATGATGATGCCTTCAGGCTCTGCTCAGTGAACATGAGTACTGGCTGAAGGTCCATTATAACGTTATCGTGATGTGTTCACATGTCATCTGTAAAATGTAGTTTTGGCGATAAACTTGAATATATCCAGTAGTTTGAAGGAGATGTTTTCACATGAATATAAAACAGATATTAGAGATGAATTATGATGTTTAACTTCTAACACAAGCTCTAAGCTCATTATTATACTTAATTAATAACAATAAGGATTATAAAAATACAATCTATTATTTCCTTATTATTTGAATTGTGTGTTTTTATGAAGAACATTTTTTTTATAAATTACTTACTGACTTCAGAACGTTGAAATTATTTTTGGGACGATGGATCTTCGTAGACCAGATCTCAGAGTGTAATGATCCTCAACTCACATCTAACATTAAAGTATGGAGGACAATGAAGGAAGTATTTCATATAAAATGTAGTAATGATAGAAAGTCTTGTAAAACTGTTTAGTATATATAAATCTGTCCTGTCCTCCTGGAGGTGGCGGGTCTCGTCCCGGTCTGGACTCGGCTGCCTCTGTTTCAGGCCCGGCTCCCTCGAGACCTCCTGGACGTCCTGCTGCTGAACAGGATGTCTCTCGGTACCTTCGTGGATGACAGCGAATCGCTCAGCGCTAACTGGACCTCCAGAATGCTGCGACGGGTGATGTACGGGCTGCTGCTGGGAGACGGGGGGGAGGTGACGGAGAGAGACCGAGACGGACTAGAGCTGGTCATCACCACTGTCAGACCCACCTTCACTGAGACCTCCAGGGACCTGGTTCTGTCCTCACTGGATCAGGTGAGGTACACAACTACCACCACACACTGATGTGGACCAGGTAAAGCCGACAGAATTTCTGCTGATTCGACTTTTTGTTGAAGCGAATGGTGAAAAACAAACGAGACTAAAACACATGAATACAAACATAAATCATAATTTACCGACTTATAGTTAAAAGTTATACACAATAAATGGAACACAAGCTAATCAAAAGGAGCGTGTTCGGTTATCAGCAAATATGAAAAACTAAATTATTGACATCAATAGAATTATTAATATCAATAAGATTATTAACAATTATTAATAATAACGGGCTCCACCCTGAGAACAGGGACCCAAGTCTCATAATTAGTATTCACTTCCAATGTCAACAGCCGGAGTGCTTGTACACGTTCAGAGTGAAGGTTTGAGCTGCTATCACAGTACACACACACACACACACACACACACACAGTCATCACACACAGCTGCTCTTTAATAACAGAGTTTATTAAGTTCTAATAATAATGATCTAGTCAACTAATATCTAAACTAACAACAACTACTATACATCCATGAGCGCGCTATCTGACATCAACAAACGGGGGGGGGTAAATACAGGAACTGTTTCTCTATCAGACAGAAACCCGACTGGTGAACTTAGATTTGGCCGTTATTCTGGTTGTTTACTGGTAAAGTCACAATTACCAGCTTCACTCACAGTGATGATCTAACACAGGGGTCGGCAACCCGCGGCTCTTCAGCCCCTCTGTTGCGGCTCCCTGAGGCTACATCTACTCTACTACTGGAGTGGAGTTTGGAGTCCACACGGCGTTTCAGCATCATTCGAGATGATCTCCGTCCAGAATAACACGCCTGAAAACAAATATCACGTGACTATTCACGTACACTGGGCATGAAGTTGCCGGTGTAAAGAGGAAGTAGATTGGTTGCTTCGTTCAAAAAATACGACGGAGTAATAAAGTAGTCTTTAATAATGAAAGGTCAAGCTTGATACTTTGCTCTGCTTGTGACTGAAGTCTCTGTCGTTCTGGAGAGCAATCAATGTTTAGTTCCTTCATAGTTTGTGTGTGTGGACTTCACAATAGTTAAGAAACAATAATAAGAAGAGGAAAGTCCTCCGTTTTGTGTCCGTCCTCCTCAAAGCCGCTAACTGTGACTTCAAACGGCCGCTGGACACGCCGCCAAAATAAAAAATGTTTTCATATTTTGTCATCTAAAATGTGCATCACATCCTATTACGTCGCTGTCAAGCGCCTTTCCCTGCAGGTGGTTACCCAGATAGCAGTCGACTCCGGGGCAGATCCCTGGAGTCGACTGCTATCTGGGTAATTATGATTTGCAGACCCCCGCCCTCGGTAAACTATTGTAAGTTATTATGTTGAGCACGTTAAGAGCTCTCTAGGAAGCAGTGTTCCTGTACGTGTTTGGTGCTTTTATTGTGGAGGATGAGACGGAAAGAGAAAAGTAAGTTCTGCTGAAGTGTGGGAGAAGTGAATAAAGTTGCTGACGTCTTGGCGCAGATTACGGAGCCCCGTGTTTATTATTTATTTATTATCATAAAGTGTAGGCGCAATATTGAACCATCAATGGATAAATCCAAAAAAAGAAAAGTCACGGAGGAAAATAGAGAGTTTGATTCTGCGTGGACGTCTTCATTTGCTTTCACTGCCAACAATGCTGACTTACCTGCATGCTTGATATGTGGCGAGAAATTTGCAAACAACAAAATATGTAATGCAACACTTCCAGAACAAGCACACAGCATTTGCTGAAAAGTGTCATGCTGGAGATGAGTGAAAAAGAGCGATTTCTCAGCTGCTGCAGAAAACTCCTCTTCATAAGAGTTTGATATTGTTCTAACAGGTAAAATAGCAATAACATGTCAAGAATTGTCTTTATTCTTCTTCTATAATTTCACAAATACAACAAACTATAGTTTTTGTATATATAATATAACTATATACAAAACTTTATAAGCTGTGATATCAAATAGCCAGATGAATTTTATTTGGTGAAAAATAGGGCAAAATGGCTCTTTGGACAGTAAAGGTTGCCGACCCCTGAGCTAACATAACACTATTACAACAGCATGGAACACAACAGCAGCTTCTTCACAGCACTAACGGAACTCTGCGGTCCGTAAACATACACAGAAACACGTGATAACAATACAGTAACCTTAGAACAAAACAAGGTAATAAACACACTATGACCTGACTCTGCCCAGACACACCAGCCTCTTACTGTGAGACGGCTTCGTAGCGGTCGATGGGCTTCTTCAAGTTTCTGGGTTAAACTTGGTTGTGGAGCTTCAAGCTGCATGGCGATAAACTGTCTGTGTGCAGAGAGGGAGTTCTTCTTCCTTATGACCGGCAACATGTTGACGTTAACGGGGAGAGAACGGGACGTAGAAGTTATCCGTTCTCTTCTTCAGGATCCAAAAAAACAAGACAGTCTATTGTTCGTCAAGTGAAGTTAAGACGATGACCTAGGTTTTCTCCAAAAACAACAACGTTGTTTGAACGGCGTGGGACGGCTCAGAGCTGGAGGTGATGCAGAGTTTTATAGCTTCAGTAGCTTCCCCTGTGGAGCCTGTGGCCGTCGTCCAATGACACCTCAGCGTTGAGTTTAAATGAAACGTCACATGGAGGTGAGATTTAATGTCTCATGGGGGGGGGTGGTGTGAATCTTAACTCAAATCAGGCTGCTGACTATCCTGTAGACATGTAGGCCCAACTCTTTCTTTGTTCGGAGCACATGGTGAACTCCCATGGTGTGACCATGTGCTTAATATAGTGATGACTTCATCAGTGGCTCTGCTGTTGGATTCATGTAGAAATGATGAAGTTACGCCCCCCCCCTCCAGGTGGAGCCCTCTCAACGTCTGCAGGTGTTGCTGGAGGCTCTTCAGGTCTCTGAGGACTCTCTGAGCCGCGTGCCGCCTCAGCTGCGCCTCCCGGTGGCCGCCACCTGCTACTGGCTGCAGAAAGCTCAGCCTCCTCCAGCAGAAGAGCTGCTGAATGCTCTGCTGCTGGGTCTGAGTACTGGAGACCCTGTGAGACCCAGAGCAGGTAAAGACCACCTTATGATTATTATAAATATATAGACACAGAACAGATAAAGACCACCTTATGATTATTATAAACA